ACTAAGATGTGGAAATCCTGCATCACATATTCCAGCATTATTTGCTTCAATAGCTTCAATATAATAGTTTCCACTAGTTGGTAATGCATTATAATCAGTCAATGGTTCACTAAAATGTTTCCATCTGACATATGCTCCATTTCTTAAAAGCCATTCTGCACAAGCAAGATCTGGACCAATTTCCTTTATACGGTCTTTGTCAACACTTTAAAAAAAAGTTTCTCATATATTTTGTATAAAAAATCAAACAGCAATGCTTTGTTTTCTTACTTATTGAATGCAAGAAGAACCCAGTAAAATAAAGGTCTAGTTTGATTTTTTGTATTTCGGATTAAAGAAGTTAAGCTGTTTAATGTCTGAAATAAAAAATATATGACAATATTCTTACTAAATACAAAATTAAGTAATTTCTTTATAGTCTTACATAGACCGTCATTGTTGTTTTATTTTTGACAGTAACATTGCTGAATAATTATATTACTGTAGTTGGAGGTTATAAAAATGCAGATTAGGTTGGCACAGTATGAAAGTTAAACTATCCAATTATCTCATAATAGATCAAAGAAGTATTGCATTTAATTATATAATGTAGTCACTTATTTATGGCATTATGATTTGTAAACGATAAACTGAATCGATAACCTCATACGGAAAATGGTAAGGTAGTCAAATCAGTTAATCTCCAAAAAAGCATGCAAAAAGCATTGAATGTTCGTATCTATTTTGTCTTTAGTCAATGACTGTGCGTTATTATTTACAATAAAAATTAATAGTTAGCGTATAATACAAATATTTAAGCAATAAAATCAAAATATTCTTATAAAGAATAAAATTTTAATAAGTAAAAAAAATTTTTTTTAAAATAAGATAATAGATAAATAGCATGTGATAGATATTATTTTTTATGTAGCTATTGATATAATGAAAGAAATTTCAAATTAAGTTAATCTCGGTTAATAAAGTAATTCATATTAATTATTATACAGTAAACATTATTTGATACAGATGTCAGCGACAGACTATATTTTAATGGCTCACACAATTCTACATTATCCATAGTCTCTGGATCTCATAATTGTATGTGCCGCCGGTTTGAAGAGTCAAAACAAACCTGTGTGATTACGCACAACAGTGATTACGCTTGGCGAAGAAATCATTAAATAGCAACAACATGAGTCGAAGAAAAAGAGCGAAGGTTTGTCATTCATTTTTATTATATGTAATATTTTCCTTTGTTAAATACGTTCTTATAAAAGGTATTATATGACGTATATATTTAATATACCAGTTGTTTCATATTTTTATTGTAACATGAATCAAATGTTTGTTTTTCCATATTTCCTCATGTAATAGCATGAAACAACATAAATTCTCATGTGAAAAAGAATTCGGACGCATT